AACTCCACCATTTAGTGGGTCCTGAGTTCTTGCTCTGTGACCAGGAAGAATGAGGTACACAGACAAGTGGAGGATGAACAAGATGAAGGGAAGTTGTATTGAGCAATAGAACAGTTTGCGAGAGACCCACAGGGGGTAGCTCCTTTCCACAGCAGAGGGTTCTGATGAGTGTTCAGCTCCTATAGCAGAGAGAAGACCCTGGATTGGGAAGCTCCTCTCTGCAGGCAGGTCATCTCATTGTCTTCCCAGCTCTCAGCAGAGAGGAGACCCTGGAGTGGGTTGCTCCTCTCTACAGCTGGTAGTCCTGGTGACTCTGCAGGTCTCTGAAGCTCTCAGCAGATAGGAGGCCCTAGAGTGGGTAGCTCCTCTCCGCTGTTGGTCATCTTGACATCTCCTTCTATCAACAGTAAGGGTTGCTCTTCTCTGCAGTTGGTTGTCCAGTTATCTGCTCATGTCTGGCTGAGTCTGGGACTTTTATGGGCCTCAGAGGGAAGGCATTACATGCCAATTTGTCTATGGGCAGCCATGGGCAGGCCCAGAAAAGGCACCACAAGTTCCCACTCTGGTTTGTGGGACTGGCAGCCTGACCCAGCCTTGAGGCTATTCCTGGCCTAAAAAAGGTGAGGCCTCTGTGGAGACCTGCCCCATTCCACCCAGGAATCTGTCTGCCTCCAGCTGTCCTTCATGGTGCCCAGGCTCCACCTGACTTTGCTCCAAAATTGGAGAAAGTGCAGAGAGCAGGGAGAAGCCAGGCAGCAGGAGCAGGCCTTCTGAGCCTGTGAGGGCATGAGGGTCTTCCTGGGTCCCCAAGTGTGTAGGGATGTGTAAGTCTGCAGCCAGGGTTTGGGCAGCTACAGCTGCAGCTGTGCCTAGAGGTGGCGGGGCTCTTGCCTGCTCTATGGAGTGGGAGACCTGGCTCTGCAGCTGCAGTTTGAGTAGCTGCAGTGGCACCCGGGGAGCTTCTGCCTCAACTTAGTGGGGGTAGGGCTCCCACTTGTCCCCAGCTCCTACAGGCTCCATGGAGTGTGCAGCCCTGGCGGCACCTCCCTGCTGCAGCCTGTCTGATGGCAGTCTCAGGCTGTCTGCAGCAGCTGCTGCCATCACTATCTCTGTTCTTCAACTTTAACACATGATTTTCTCTAATTGTATGTTTTATTAGTAGTTTCCATGGGAATTTGAGTAGGAAGAATTCTTGATGGCAGTAAGAGAGAAAAACAATATCAGATGGAGAGTCTCTCAATTCCACTACATTTTATTCATAATTTATATATATATCTGGATTTGTCTTATAATCCTTCGCAACTCTTGGAATAAATCACTCCTTTTCACTTATTCTGATACCTCCATATATACTCTAGATCTTATTTCCTTCTGTATTTTCTGGCACATTTCACTATCAGTTATTTCTCTCTCAAGTACAAGGTAATCCCTGTTGTCTTTTAGATTCTAATATTTTCTGTTAACAAAAGAAAAATAAAATTGTAAGAAAGATCTCTATTTCCTATTTTTGAAACTAAATGTCTTAAAATGAAGTTTGTTGCTATTCTACCTCCTCCCTTCCCCTCCCCTCACCTCGCCTTCCCTCCCCTCCCCTCCTCTTCCCTCGCCTCCTCCCCTCCCTTCTCCTCTCCTCTCCTCTCCTCTCCTCTCCTCTCCTCTCCTTTTCCCTTCACTTCTCAATATTCTCCAGTATGGATTATATGCATTTTAATTTACCTCAACTAAACTAATTAATATCCATTTCTCTTAATATAATGGGCATATTTCTGTCCACTTCACTTTTCAGTAGTACTGAAATCTTAAAACCAGACATATACATTCACTTCTCTTGGCTCTCCTAACATACCACTCTCTGATGTTGTGATCTCTTTTATAGGCTCCTACCCCATATCTGGCTATGAATTTGAGAGTTCATAAAGTCTTGAATCTGGATCTTTTTCTCATTCTATAATCTCTCAGTAGTCTGTTTGTAGATAACCCACACATTTTCATTTTTTACCCATACTTCCCCCTCTGAACATTGGTCTATAGTGTCTTTCCTGCCTCCAGAAGGTAATTCTAACCTGAAAAACATCTTGATGAGTAACTCTTACTTAAAAATATGTATATAAATAAATATTAATAATTCCTTTTGAAATTAGTAGTACACAATTATTTTAGTAAATAAGTGCATGTAGGATATTTAATATTTATACAATAAAAACATTAATGTAAAATACAATAATAAGTGATTTTACAAAAGCAATAATCTCTTACCAACTTTGTAATAAACTTTAATGGCCTCTCATTACTTTTGTCATCACCAGAATCCTTAACATGCCCTACACAGGTCTATGGCATCATCCCTCATGAGACCTACCTTGCTCCGTGCCACTCTAGGCTTATTAGCGTTCTTTCAGTTACTACAACATGCTACAGGATCTTTGCCTGTGTTGATCTCTGAGTCTGGAGTGCCTCCCCAACCCTATTCCCCACCGTTGCCTGATTAAGTCCTGTCTTTACTTCAGATTTCAATTCAATTGTCATGTCCTTATTGAACCCTCTGATCTCCTTTACTTGGTCCATTCTTCTTATTTTGTCTCTATGTACCTCTTCTTGGGAGTTCTTATCAATGTTTGATTTTATATGCATTTTATGATTATCTCATTATTAGTAATAGATTTTATGAAACCTGGGATTATGTATTTTTAGCTGACAATTTTATTATTAGATTTCTGTACAGTGCCTGATATATAATAGACACTTGATGTTCACTCATGGAATAAATAAAAGGAGGAGGGAATAAGTGGAAGTTTCCCAATTTTCCTTCTATAAATCATGAAATATTTTGGATTATGACTAAAGCTTGGGAGTAATTTTATGAATGTTCGTTTTTTCTTTTGTATTATTTTTCTAAGCGATTTGACTTATATGTATATTTCTCTTTAGTTCCATAGTTGTTCGATAGGCTCTTTTTAGATTTTTTAATGATTGAGGGACTACCTCACAAACTTTCTTCAGTTCCAATTTTATATTTTTTCTGAAACTTAATTTTGTTCATATTATAAATAAGTATTGGTGACTTTTTACAATATAGCTTCAAATTAATGCTACTTTCCTTTAGGATATGTTGTTTGCATTGGAATTGTGTTTCTGTTTGTTTATGCTTTTAAAAGAAGGGGTCTGTGCAAAACCAAAACTTCCCAACAGTAGGAGGATGTGGATTGCCCTGGCTCTGTGCTCTCACCCTGATCATGGATATACTATTCCTTTTAATTTTATCCTAATGATATGCTAAAATAATCTACCTCAATGAACTTTTACTGTCTTTACAGACTGCTGGACTGAGGGCAAATTCTAACTGCCCTATTTACCACTGCCCTAATTATAAGAATAAAAGTTTATTTTTAATTAATTTGATGTAAATATTTACTCATTGGGAGACATTACACAAGATGATGATGAGGAGGAGGATAATAGTAATATACACATATGGTTTTGATAGGCCATGCTTGATATGCTTTATACATTATTAACTCATGTAATCCTCATAAAAATATCTTATTATTTTAGCATCTTCTCTTTCCAAGTGTAAAGACCAAAGCACCTAGCAGGGTACGGTATTGCATACCTGTAGTCCCAGCTGCTTGAGTGGCAGAGGTGGGAGAATCCCGGGCTTGAGCCTGAGAGACTGAGGCTGCAGTGAGCTGAGATTGAGCCACTGCACTCCAGCTTGGGCAACAGAGTGAGACCCTGTCTCAAGAAAAACGACAACAGCTACAAAACCAAAGCACAGAGATAGTAAGTTGCTTAAGAACACATAGAAAGCAGATAGCAGGAGTAGGGTTTCAACCAATGAAAGGCTCATGCTTTTGACCACTAAGCTATATTGCCTTTTTAAGATAAAGGACTACTTTCCATACTTTAACTCAATTATTATAACCCCTAAACCTACATAAAATAGATCGCTTTGACTCCATTTGAAAAGTGATGAAACCTAAGTTCAGAAAGGGGAGGTAACATTTTGAAGTCCACAGACATTGAAAATGTCTGAGTCAAAATTTCTACTGAGATATATGAATTATCTTTCCACATGAAGCTGACTTTAAACCTGTAACTCTCATTCTATTACATGAAGACAGGCAATGAAAAACTGTAAATCTAAGAATGCAATATTCTCAACTTGTACCTACTAAATATGCATCTCAATTTCTAACTTTTTAATATATCCTATTATATGACGTTCTTGTGGAGGAGAAGATTTTAAAAAGAGGATCATTGATAATAGCTATGTTAGGACTAATACATATCACATAAGAGGCACTCAAATAAATATTGATTGAATGACTATTCCATTAATTTCATTCTTCAATCAGCTCCTTTTTGCAAGAAATTTGGTGGACAGTCCTCAGAGCAATGGAAATAACAGTTTGTTTTAGTTTTAAAAGTTCCTTTGAATTTTTGTCTTTCTTGATGTTTTCATTGGTATGTAGAATGGTGAATGTAAATTCACTTTATCTTGTTACTGCATGTTAATAGTTGGATAATAGGCAGATAATATGCATTTAACAAACATTTTTTGAAAGAATAAATGCTGAGAGAAGACACATCTGGAAAGTCAATATCTGCTTTCATTGGAAGCAAGATTTATTTTGGGAATAAAAATTATTTGATATTAATACATGCAAAAATGTACATATTGCTTTTTTTAAAAGAAATTTTAGATTTCATCAAAGGTTTTTGCCTCTACCAAATATATATGACTTTTAGAAGAATATTAAACATGCATTAAGTTCATGACTTATAACTTTTATATATTTTATTTTATTTTTTACTTTTGGATATTTTAAATTATACTTATGTATGTTAGCCCTAGGAATCGAAACATGTAAGATATCAATAAATGGTGTTGGTAAGTTATTTTATGTTAATGAGTTCATTATTGATTAATGTAAAATAATATTTCAAAGTTTATGAATGATACAATTAAAATATGCTATTCTTTTTTTTAATGTCCACAGCTCAGTCCGTTTTTAAGGCATACTGTTCTGAAGAGAACATTTAATGTAACTCTGCCAAATTCTTTCTTCACTGATAGAGAAAACACTTCCACTCTAGAACAAAAAGCCAAACAAAAACACCAAGGAGGCAAAATAGAATCTTCTAAATGGTGAGTGTATCAGTTCGTTCTCTTACTGATATAAAGAAATGCACAAGACTGGATAATTTATAAAGGAAAGAGGTTTAATTGACTCATTTTCACATGACTAGGGAGGTCTCAGGAAACTTACAATCATGGTGGAAGGCAAATGAGAAGCAAGTACCTTCTTCACAAGGTGGCAGAAAAGAGAAGGAAGAGGAACTGCCAAACACTTATAAAACCATCAGATCTCATGAGAACTAAGTCACTATCATAAGAACAGCATGGGGGAAACCACCCCCATGATCCAATTACCTCCCATCAGATCCCTCCTTTGACACGTGGGGATTATAGTTTGAGATGAGTTTGGGTGGGGACACAGAGCCAAACCATATTATTCTGCCCCGAGACCCTCCCAAATCTTATGTCTTTTTACATTGCAAAACAAATCTTGCCTTCCCAAACTCTTACTTCAGCATTAGCTCAAAAGCCCATAGTCCAATGTCTATCTGAGACAAGGCAAGTCCCTACCACCTATGAGCTTGTAAAATCAAAAGCAACTTAGTTACTAAGATACAGTATGGGGACAGGCACTGGATAAATGCTCCCATTTCAAATGGGAGAAATTGGCCAAAACCAAGGGGCTATAGGCCCCATGCAAGTCTGAAAGCCAACAGGGCAGTGATTAAATCCTAAAGCTCCAAAATAATCTCCTTTGACTCCATGTCTCACATCCAGGGCATGCTGATGCAATGGGGAGGGGACTCGCACAGCCTTGGGCAGCTCCTTTACTGACTGGTGTTGAGTGCCTGCAGCTTTTCTAGCTGCAGAGTGCAAGCTGTCAGTAGACCTACTATTCTGGGGTCCGGAGAAGGTGGCTTTCTTCTCACAGCTCCACTAGGAAATGCACCAGTGGGGACTCTTTGAGGGGCCTCCAATCCCACATTTCCCTTCCACACTGCTCTAGCAGAGATTCTCTAAAAGGGCTCTGACCCTGTGAAAGAATTCTGCCTGGACATCCAGGCATTTCCATACATCCTCTGAAATCTAGGCAGAGGTTCCCAAACTGCAATTCTTGACTTGTGTGCACCCTCAGGCCAAACACTACATGTAAACCACCAAATCTTGGAGCTTGCACCCTCTGAAGCAACAGTTTGGACCATACCTTGCCCCTTTTAGCCACGGCTGGAGCTGAAGCAGTGGGACACAGGACACCATATCCTGAGGCTGGACACAGCAGTGGAAACCCTGGTCCCAGCCCACAGAACCATTTTTTCCCTCCTAGGCCTCCAGGCCTGTGATGGCAGGGGCTGCCACCAAGGTCTCTTGATGTGCCCTGGAGACATTTTCCCAATTTTGTTGGCAATTAACATTTGGCTCCTTATTACTTATGCATATCTCTGCAGCTGGCTTTAATTTCTTCCCAGAAAATAGATTTTTCTTTTCTACCACATGGTAAGGCTGCAATTTTTTCAAACTTTTATGCTCCACTTCCCTTTTAAATATAAGTTCCAATTTTAGATCATCTCTCTCAAGTTCAATGTTCCACAGATTTCCACGGCACGAGGAAAATTCTGCCAGTCACTTTGCTAAAGCACAGCAAGAGTGATCTTTACTCCAGTTCCCAATAAGTTCCTCATCTCCTTCTGAGACCACCTCAGCCTAAACTTCATTGTCCACATCACTATCAGCATTTTGGTGAAAACCATTTAACAAGTTTCTAGGAAGTTCCAAACTTTTTCTCATCTTACTGTCTTCTTCTGAACCCTCCAAACTGTTCCAGCCTCTGCCTGTTACCCAGTTCCAAAGTTGCTTCCACATTTTCAGGTTATCTTTATAGCAGTACCCCACTTCTTGTACCAATTTACTGTCCAGTCTCATACTGCTATAAAGAAGTACCCGAGACTGGGTAATTTATAAAGGAAAGAGTTTTAACTGATTCACAGTTCAGCATGGCTGGGGAGGCCTCAGGAAACTTACAATCATGGTGAAAGGCAAAGGAGAAGCAAGTACCTTCTTCACAATGTGGCAGAAAAGACAGAGGGAAGAGGAACTGCCAACACTTATCAAACCATCAGATCTCATGAGAACTCAGTCACTATCATGAGAACAGCATGGGAGAAACCGCACCCATCATCCAATCAACTCCCACCAGGTCTCTCCGTTGATACATGGGGATTTCAATTTGAGATGAGATTTGGTTGGGAATACAGAGTCAAACCATGTCAGTGAGTACACCTGTCCTCCCCGAGTTATATGGTTACTACATTTTTACAATCCATAAATTAACTGGCATAAACAATCTCTTGGTCAGGATATATTTTTCTGTCCTCAAAGCAATATATTTGTATCCCTGTTCTAGAAATTGGTTGTGTTTATGGCCCCAAGGTGTAATTAACAGATTATAATAGAAGACAATCTGCATTATTCTAGAGATAAGTGCTAATCTGGTCAGGAATAGCCAGTACATATCTTTACATTTTTATAAAGTCTGTTTTTCATTTGCCTTTAATAACAAGATAAAATAGTTACCTTAATCAGGTGAGTTGCTTTTTAATTAACCTATCTTTTTAATACAAATAAATTTTTGTAATGTTATGCTTTAGTCAGTTGTTGTAGGATTATATCTTATTTTAGCATGTAGACTTTTTTGGTCAAATTGCATTATGAAGCAGTTTTGAATTAAAAGTTGGTATGCTTAATAGAGACGGGGTTTCACCGTGTTAGCCAGGATGGTCTCAATCTCCTGACCTTGTGATCTGCCTGCCTCAGCCTCCCAAAGTGTGATTACAGGCGTGAGCCACTGCACCCGGTCTACTTAGGTTATTTTTATTTTGATTTACCCACATATTTAACTCTTTCATTGCTCTTTCCTTCTCTCATTTCTGTGCTTCTCTTTAGATCATTAGTCTTCTGTCTAATGAACTCCTTTAAATATGTATGTTTGCACAGGTTTGCTGTTGATGAGTTTTCTCAGTTGTTTGGCTGAAAACATCTTTATTTAATTTCCCTTTTTGAAGGATATTTTTGCTGAATAAACAAGTACAGTTTGGCATATTTTCTTTGAGCATTTACAAAATGTCATTCTATTGTTTTCTACCCTCCATAGTTTCTAATGAAGTGTCTTTCCTTTGAAGATAATGTCTTTTATTTATCTGACTGCTTTTACAACATTTTTATGCATTTAAAAAATGGTCAGTTTTACTCTAATGCTTTTAGATTTTCCTACCTCATGCCCCAGTTCTCCTTGGTGTTTGTTAATGCTCTGGATTGTGTGGGTTGATGTCTTTCTATTGGCTCTGAAAGTTTCTCACCTATTATCTTTTCAAATATTGCTTCTTTAACATTTCTCTCTTCTCTTGTTATACAAATACAATTACAGATATTAAATTGTCTCATGTGTCTTGTATGCTCTTTTGTATATTATAGATTCTCTTTAGTTTTTGAACTTCAGTCTGTATATTTTATAATGATCTCTCCTTAGTTCAAAAATCCTCTCTTTAACTGTTTAAACACATCTATTGCATTCTTAATTTAAATGTTAACATTTTCAGTTCTGTAATTTCCATTGGGTTATTATTTATAAATTCCAGTTGCATAGTGAGATTCTTGATCTTGCTAACAATTTTGTTCAGCATTTTATTCTTTGTTATTTTAAAATCTATGATGGATATCTCCAACTCTAATTCACCTTTGTATCTGCTTATATTATGTTTTAGTTTTCTGTTTTTTGATTCTGACTTCTGACATGCCTAGTAAGTTTGATCACATGTAGAATATTGCTAATGAAAAATTATAGATATAATTTGATGTTTTGTCTCATATTTTCTTCCTTCAGGGAGGATTTCCTTTAGATTTTTCTCAGGTACCTTAAATATGGGGCAGACCTGCTTTTCCATTATGGGGTTGTGCTTGTCCGGAGCTGAGTTTCACATTTTTGTTAAGAGTTGATATAATTCTTGTTACCTATGTTTTTGGAGTATAACCTTCTTTTATTCTATTTATAATAAGAAGTCAGGGATATTAACAAGAGTCCCTTCTCCAATTTTTTCTTCTTCAATCCTGGGAAACTGCCAAATACTCTGTTTTGCTGCCCATACCTTTAGCTGCTACTCTTGACTCCATTTGATATCCTGTTAGCCCTATACCAGATAAAATTTAGCAAACGTCTTAAGGAGGAACATGACACGATGCTAAAATTCCCTTATTCTTCTCCCTTTTTCTTTGTAATTTAGTTTCTTGACATCCTGCTTTCTTAAACTGCAAGTTTTATCTTTAGACATCCCAATAAGGCCAAAGTCTTAGCTTAGGTTTTTATCTGCCTTGTGGCTGTCTTCTTGGTCTTTTGGCCTTGTGCTATTTAGAAACTAAAAGATTCCTCAAGGGAAATGTAAGGCTCACCTCAGTATTACGCCTGCCTCACTATTCTCACCAAATTTCTGGCCCCTCAAAACCTGGTTGTCTGTATAGTTTTCCATTCAGTTAAATAGGTTTAAACAGAAATAAATTCTATAGATTTTATGTATTGCATGGCCTGCAACAAGTTATTCTTTGCCATGTCTGAATTTCTTTACCAGTTTGTCAAGCTCCTTTCCTTTCATCTCTCAATTTATGAAATCCTATATCTTCAATGAATAGTTACAATTAAAAAAGAATATATCCTAGATATGAGGTATCCTGCCATGTAACTATTTGCTCATAATTCTATAAAAAGCACACACCATTTTTAAGGAAATATATTTATTTATTAAACGTACTTGCAGATTTATCTTTTGAGAATTACCATTGTCACATTAGAAACTAAGAATATGTTAAGGTTGTATGTTTCATTATTTAACTATTTTTTCATGGTGTCACACAAAAATAAGCCCTTAGAAATGCTTTAGTATTCCAGGCATGCTCACTCACATTCCAAGCCCTCTGTTAAATAAGCCTTCAGCAGGCAAAGCCAGACTAGCCCCCTGTCTAACTTTGCCATTACAGATGGACACAAAGTCCCAATTCTATCTTTTCTGTTTCTACACTCTCCTATTATTACCACTGAAGACCCTCAAAAAGCTACCAGAGTTGCATTCAGAATTATTCTGCATTTCAGTAAATATGATGTCATTTGGAGTCTCCCTAC